GCCAGCTTCCCTGCCGCCTCGTGGCCAGGTGCTGTCACAGCGCCCACTGCAGCAAGGCAGGCCGGCAGCTCCAGGGAGCTGGTGTCTGCTGCAGAGCCCGGCCTCATTTACATGGCTGAACAAACTGTTCTCAGTCCTGCTGTGTGCATGTGCCATGTGCCCACACCTATGCTGTAGCTGACCTATTTTCCACACCCACCTTTGGCCAGCCTAACTCCCTGTCTGTGCTAGAGGCTATTACACAGGTGCTGCAGTGGTGACGGACTAGTCATGACCTGGCCATTCTTGCTGGGCTGTAGATTTTGGGTGTGGAGCATTATGTACGCATCCACACACACACACACACCTCTCATTCAGTTCTCCTAAGCATGGCTCTCATGGCAGGTCCACAGTGCGCTGAGTGCAAGGTTAAAAAGCTGGAATTTTTAAGACCCGGAAGATAAATGCCTTTCATCTCTGGGAACCTGGGTATAAACCCCCTCAGTGCTGTACGCTGTGCTAAGCATGTGCACGGGCGCTGGAGTGCAACATGCACCCATGTGGCCACGAGACCCAGGCTCGCTGCAAGGCAGCGTGGTGCAGGCTCTGGGCCTGCATACTGCCTGCTCCTGAGGACTGAGGGTTACCCCGTGGGTGTTCCAGTCCCCAGACCAACACTGTGGTGATTAATGATGATCACTGAGCGGTTGTTATACAAACCAAGAGCAGTTATAAATAGAGCTAACGCTGTGATTCAGCACATTAGGAAACCTGCAGTCTGTTACTCCCCGCTCCCTGGCCCCTCCGCGCCTCCCCCACCCTCACTGTTGGGACAGAATCTGCATGGGGATGCGTCTCACTTCAGCTGCATTTCAGCACTGGGATGCATCTCTGCAGATGGATGTCTGAGGTGTGCGTGCACGTGTGTTGCAGGAAGTCTGCATTTCATATGCTATAATTGAGGTTGAGTGTAATGAGAATCAACCCCTGATGTAAAATAAATGGAAATACTTAGCACTAATGGGCATGTGTTATGCTAGAGAGGTTGGCATCCTGGTTCCATTTCATCCCTGGCTCTACTCCATTGCATCTGGCTCATGATCCAGGTACCACTGGATTTTGTGAGACGTAAGACCTGGCTTTAATACCATCTCTGCCTATAGCAGGAGTTTCCCTAGACCCATCTTATGTCACTTTGCCCAGAGCTGCGTGCACACAGCCTATAACTAACACTTTCATACTGTTGCCTCTAAATTAGTAGCAAGTGCTGATTGCCAAGTGTTGCAAGTACAGACTAATAAAACGTAGCCTTTAAAAAATCCTTTGAGGGTGTTATAGAGGAAGAGGGAAATGTGCCCTGAGCACTTACGCTTCATTTCAATTTGGATTTTTATGGAATATTATTTATGGGCATATGAAACATAACGAAGGAAAGTCATTCCTGTTCGGCTTCGCTCTCAATCTGTCCCTGCTCACTACTTCATTCTCAGTAGCCACCTCCGGGATCCAGGAGGGCCTGAATTCTTAGCAACGGCCTAATGTGGAGAGAGAGGCAGCCAAGTCAGAGGCTGCTTTTGTCAGAACGTGACGGAATAATCCAAGTACTGCAGACAGATTGCCTGCGGGGTGAGATGTGCTTCAGCAGGAGGCAATCATCCTCTCAGCACTGCATCCAGCGGGGCCTTTTAGGTAGAAGTATCATTGTGGTGTGGACTCGTGGAGCAGGGTGGCGAGACCTCCAGCCACCCCAGAGGCTGCAGGAAACATTGCTTGGTGCTCGCTCCTCTTGGTCTTCACGAGGGGACATTATGTGACCACCTCTTGCGGTGCTGTAAAATGGGGCTCATTTGATCACTTGTGAGCCTGAGCTCACCGTGCTCCTCCAGGCAGCACGAGGGCATGAGCCACTCTAAGGAGTGTTGCACCTTCCAGCAAGAGCAATCAGATCCCAGGGCCCTGAATCTCCACCTGCAGTCAGTCACACTGCAACAGGGTGCTCATCTTCACATCCTGTCCTAAACTGCCATGTTGAGCTGCTGCATGTCACTATTCTCTGTCCCACCGTTCGATACTCATCAAGCACCCAATGTCCTAGAAGAGCCAAACTCTTTTCCATCAACACCCAGCAGGCTGGGCTCCAAATCAAACCCTAAGCCCAACTCCTCCTGCCCCCAGCTGGGAAGCGGGGCTGATCCAATCCCCACTCTGAAGAGTCAAGCTGTAGCAGGCCCTCACCGGTCAGAGCGCTCTCCTGGGATGGTTCAGAGCAGGGACTTGAAATTAGGCCTCCTGTTTCTCAGGGAGGTGCCCCACCTGCCAGGCTTCAGGGTGCGCTGTGGGGAAGAGGGGGCTGTCTCTCACTGTGCCACTTGGCATAAAGAACTACAATAGCTGGAGCAGGGACTTGAACCAGATGCCATCCCCTCCCGTGTGACTGCAGGAGGAGATGCCCTCCGGTCCTTGCTGCGGTGTGCACGAGGGGGATTGACTGGCTTAGATGCCTCACTCCAGAAGACGGTTGCAAAACTTGAGCACTTGGACATAGACACCTCCTTCTCTCTCCCGAAGGCAAGGGGCACAAAAGAGCGCCTGCAGCTCGGAGGCGCAAATGCTACAGCACACCAGAGGCCTTGCCACATCTTTACCATTTACTAGTTCAAAATCCATCATATTTATTGGCCTCCTTTCTCTTGGCTTGTCTAAGCCCATTCAAAATCTGGATAATATGACTGACAAAAGGGGCCTAAGAGTCTTTCTGGCTAGACTGACTTCCATAGGGATGAATGGGCTTTTATTTGTTAACTCCACAGGTCATAAATCTTCTTAATGTGCCAGGGACCCCAACAGAACAGAATCTCTCTCCGAGAAAGCACCTTGGTCATTTCAGAGCTTGCGCTGTATCACGGAGTCAAAGGAGCCAAGCTTCCTAGGGCACTGGCACCCCAGTTAGAGCAGGGTGGCTGGACTGCCACGCTTCAGGCCCGAGACCTCGGGAGGAATGAAAGGAAAGGCATTAACAACACCGTGTGCCTGTCTGGGGCTTTTCACCCACAGCCCTCAAAGCAACTTCAAATACTGGATGTGTCCGTGTTTCCGCTCGCTGAAGTGTAGCCCAAAGCAGCAAAGGGCACAGCCCTCAGTGCTGTGGGAGCCCAATTTCCAGTTTCCCCAAGTGACTGAGCTGGGGCCAAATTAAGAGCTGGAGTAATGGTGGTGCAAGTCCGCTGAGAGCAGCATTGCAGCGCTAGCAAGCTGGTGAGCTCACCCTGGAGTCCCAGCTCTGCCCAGCCCGGCCTCTAGCGCACACGAGAGCCAAGGGCAGGCTGCTCCCCCGGGCCGTTCCCCTCTCTGCCTGCAAGCCCAGGGACGCAGAGCTAGAAGGTCTTGCCCATGATCTCTGCAGACTGACCCCATCCTCACTAGAGCCACCATGTTGCTGGCCCAGCTGCAGCCTCCATGGCAGTGTCACGATTATGACCCAAGCCAGGAGCGGGAGGTGGGCTGCAGTTCAGGGGGAGATGCTGAGGCAAAGAGGATGTGGGTTTTGCAGTGAATCATCCCCTAGGGCAGTGTGGACTTGTTATTTGTCCGTCCCCCATCCCTCCCACCACCACAAACACACACACACACACACACACACACACGTGCGCGCGCGCTTGCCAAAATCTGGGAGGAAACACCACGGATCTCATGCAGCAGAGAAGGCGGCTGTGTAAAAGCCTGCTAACAGGGTCTGCAAGGGTGCACAGAGGTGACAGGGAGCTCCAGCCCATCCCCTCGCCCTCCCCAGGACAGGGGGCTTCCCCTGCATCCAAGGAAACCGGCCAGGATGCCATGCTGGCTCAGCCTCCCCTGTCTCCACCCGAGCTCTGGTCAGGACAGTCTTTTCATCCCCTCCGAGGAGAGCGCAGCAAGGATGCTGCAGCTTGTAGCTTGGGAGCTTTCAGCTGTGTGTTTATCAGCTCCATCCCCTGATGCTATCACACAAACAGGCCACCCACAAGAAGCTTGGTCTAGACTCCAGCTTTCCCTCCGCGTCTCTGGGCGTGTATGTGTATACGCCAGGGCCGACTGACTGGCTAGCTCCAGGACTGGCTGTCTGGGGGCCTGGGCCCTTTTATTTACTACACAGCTCACATAACAGCTAAACATTTTTCCTGTGTTTATAGGGTTTGGGGGTTTTTTTTGTTTTGCCAGTTGCAAAAATTGCTAGAGAAATAAGCTTAGCCCCTCTCCTTTTTGGACAGGAAACAACAGCTTTCAGGGGAGGAGCCAAGCTAATGTATGAAAGGACCTCTGGATTTCTTATTTAACTTCCACAAGCCCTGGCACAGGAGGTGCCTCCTGCTGCACATTTCATTTCACGGGTGGAGGCAGAGGCTGTTGAGCCAGCCGCGCTGCGCAGTGCTGGCGGCTCGACAGAGTAGGAGTCGGCGGGGAAGGGGTCAGCCTCTCTGGGGTCCTGGGCTGGTCATGAGGAACGCTGCGATCCTCTTGCCATTCAGAAAGGTTGTCTCTGGGCTTCACCAGGAGCAAGGGCGAGAATCCAAGCAGCTTTGGGGCCCCTTCACACACATCCATTTAGCAAACAGCACATCAAAGTCAGGGCAGGTGGGACGGAGGCACATAGACCAGCGTGGCCTTTGCAGAGAACACATCGCCCTTGCAGGAGTAGAGCCGTGGGGCACATCTGCTCCATCCCAGGACTGTGCGAGGGAGCTCCAGAGGGCAGCAGGGCCCATCAGCTCTGTGCCTGAAGGGATGCTGTGGAGCCAGCCTTAGGCAGTGCTGCCTGGGCACCAGCAAGCTCCCAGGATCAGGCAAGCTTAGTGGAGTGCCCAGTGCTGCACGGAGAGCAGCTACGTCACCTCCTCCTGGGGCGGGGGCTGGGGTGCGCTCCCCTGCTTACATTTAGCACCGTCCCCGACCAAGCTGCACCCATCTGCCTCAGTCTGTTTTGCAGGGCAGCAAGAAAAGCCCAAATCATTAAACGTTCCTTTTTTCTTCTTTCCACCGCACAGGCCCGTCGGACCTGAGCCCCTTCCCGGACCCCCGCCAGTTCGACCGCTCCTTCTCCACGCTGCCTGCCCTCGCCGAAGGCAGGTTTTCGGACCCCCGGATGCATTACCCTGGTGCAATGTCGGCTGCCTTCCCCTACACCGCCACACCGTCAGCCACAGGGATTGGTGGCATCAGCATGGCCAGCATGCCCACCACGACCCGCTTCCACCACACCTATCTGCCTCCGCCCTACCCCGGCTCCACCCAGAACCAAAGTGGACCTTTCCAAACCAACCCGTCTCCTTACCATTTGTACTATGGCACCTCATCCGGATCGTACCAGTTCTCCATGGTGGCAGGGGGCGAGCGCTCACCCACGAGGATGCTCTCCTCTTGCACAAGTGCCTCAGCAGGTAACAACTTAATGAATCCCAACCTGGCCAATCAGAACGATGGAGTGGATGCGGATGGTAGTCATAGTAACTCACCTACGACCATGACGACCACCGGGAGAATGGATGAGTCTGTCTGGAGGCCCTACTAGGCAGCACTAAACAAGACACGTGTAGCTTTAAATAAATAAAACGCCCATGATTAGATTGCTCCCATTGATAGCAAAAAGAGCAAAACACCACCTAGGATGGGAACAGATAAGCCAAAGCCTCCCAAACCAAAAGCAAGCCAAAATCCAAGCATAGACAGATACTGAGCAAAGATGGACCTAGCTGCATTTCAGAACAAATGCCCACAAGGTTTGAATGTGTTGCTCTGTGTGGTTCCTTTCAAATGTGTGGACTGTATATAGAAGTGTGTGGAAGCAGCTGCATGTTGACTGCAGAGTTACATCTCTGTTCAGAATGCATGTCGATCATCTCATTCATAACCAAAAAAACCCCCAAGAAAAGCAACTGTCCTCCTGCACAACAGTAGGTGTTAGAGCTAGGGGAAAAGACCCCAGAAGCCAGTCAGTTGGTCTCCCTCTCATACTCCCTGCAAATGCAGGAAGAACAAAAAGTCTTAGTATTGCCATCTTCCCCAACCCTCCTTGAACAAGGGCCTCTGACCACCAGAGAACCCCAGAGCACTGCCTGAGGGTCACCGAGATGCACGTGTCTCCCAAGACGTGCACCGGAGAGTCCCATTGACAGCAAGACAAGCACGCCGATCTCTCTAGCAGGTGCAGTTGAGGTTCTGAAGAGCGTTGCTAGCGGGTGGGCAGGTATCAGCCATGCGAACAAGTGCTGTGACATGATTTTGAAAGAGGTTGTATTGTAATTTTGTTGTTTTTTTTTTTTTTTCAAACAGTAACATGGCCGAGCCCGTGCCTGACAGCCCTACTCTGTATGTTTACATGAGATGTATTTTTTTTTTTTTTAAATGTGATGCGTTATTCTTGCCTCCTGGCCTAGATATTAAGTTTCTTCCCCTTCCTAGTTAGTCTTCTTGATGATGGTGTCTAAGAAGAATGCATTTGGGACATTCCAGTGTGTGACGTGCACTTACAAATGTATTAGCTGCAAAGGGACTCCAAAGCCTTTGGGATACATGACAGCCAAGCTCGAGGCTCAGCCTTGCCTTCGAGTGGTGTACGTGCAGCTGTGGCAATGCTTCCTATTTATTTCATGGCTCTCCCCCGCATTTTCACCCTGAGTGAAGCAATGCATGATGGATTTGTTCTTAATCAAGAGCTGATGGCCGTCAGCTGATACTGAAAGTACTGCCTGAGATTTGTGCAACCCCTCATGTCTAATATACCCATCCTGTGGGGCTTAGCCTACTGAAACAACATTATATGGCCCTTCTCTCCTCAAAGTGCTTTGCACACTGCAAATGGTGAATTAGGCCACAGTTATCCCCAGTTGGCAGACAGATAATTTGAGATAGGGATACAGCCAGCAGCATGGACAGACTAGAAACAGGAGAGGCATCCCTTAGCTGTGTAGCCTTCTCAGATACATTAGTCATAATGTGCACACACATCTTTAGGATTATTATAGCCATGTGTATTTAACAAAATGCATGGCTAATGATAGATAAGCAACCACCTGTCCAGTTAATCAGGGAGAGCTTCGCAAACTAAGGTTGTTCTCTCTCTCCCCCCCACATAGGATATTCACAGACTCAGAAAATGAGGGTTGGAAACGACCCCAGGAAGTCACATCTAGTCCAACCCCCTGCTCAAAGCAGGACCAGCCCCAGCTAGATCATCCCAGCCAAGGCTTTGTGTAGCTAGGTCTTCAAAACCTCCAAGGATGGAGAGTCCACCACCTCTCTGGGTGACCTGTTCCAGTGCTTCACCACCCTCCTGGTGTGAAAGTTTTTCCTAATATCCAAACTAAAACTTCCCTTATTGCAACTTGAGCCCATTGCTCCTTGTTCTGTCATCTGCCACCGCTGAGAACAGCCCAGCTCCATCCTCTTTGAACCCCACTGTAGGACGCTGAAGGCTGCTATTTAGTCTCCTCTCAGCCTTCTCTTCTCCAGACTTAAAAAACCCAGTGCCCTCAACCTCGCCTCATAAGTCACACATCCCAGCCCCCAAACATTTTTGTTGCCCTCCACTGGACTCTCTCCAGTTTGTCTACATCTTTTCTGTTGTGGGGGATAAGGGGAGCAACACTGGACACAGAACTCCAGATGTGGCCTCACCAGTGCCGAACAGAGGGAAAGAATCACTTCCCTTGACCTACTGGCAACACGCCTACCAATGCAGCCCAGGATGCCATTAGCCTTCTTGGGAACAAGGGCACACTGCTGGCTCATATGCAGCTTCTTGTCCACTGTTTCCCCCAGGTCCTTTTCTGCAGAGCTGCTGCTTAGCCAGTCAGTCCTCAGGCTGCAGCAATGCATGGGATTGTTCTGTCCTAAGGAACAACTGGGACGTAACTCAGTGCAATTTCTGCAGGTTGAATTTCAGGGAGGGTAGGAAGTCTTAAATCCATTCATCTCCTTTCAAAATCCCAGGCTAAGCACATGGCTACAGCAGTGATGGTTGACTCAGCTGGTATCTTTTTAGCAATCAATTGACATACAATGCATAATAATTGCACTACCACTTAAATACTGGATCAAGACATCAAATCTTAAGTACCTGGATTTAGTTGTTAAGCTGCAATGACCACTCTCAAGTTTAAAAGCTGCAAACTCAACTTGCTTTAGCAACAGCGAGCACATGCCTATTGAGTGACATCTGTCAGCCATATAAACTGGACGATGGCAGCCTGTGTTTTGATGCATTTAAGTTTATCGGACAATATTTCCACTGACTGAAAGCACAAAGAAAATAAGGAATTTTTAATACCATTTTAATTTAAGACTGTTCATGGTGTATAAAAAAGCAATGACAACTATGTTCTTTATGACAATGTTATGTGAAGGTGTAAATACACACACCTCCATTTTATGCAACTGGTCGCAAGACTGGCTAAAATAATTTGCTTTGCACTATAATTTGCTTTTTAAAAAAAATGCACAATTGCTTGTACAGTAAAACCTTTGGCTTACAGAATATTTAACTGTAAAATCTAATTTTTGGTTTTATTTGTTATAATAATATAATTCTTAAATGTGTTGAAGGATCCGATTCTTAATAATGCTTCTTATACGTGTGTGTGCAAGGTAAAAGCAACAACAGAATAAGGAGATGAGAACAAAGGTCTTTCTGTACATAAAGGCAGCAAAGTTTATTTGATTTTTTTTTTATGGAGTCTTATGATGGACATTAAAAAAATGCTAGTAATACCAAATAATGTGGTTATTTGTATAATATACCAGCCCTACTTGAAGGTAACTCCCTATATTTAATATGTAGCCCATCTTTTTACCTGTAGCACTTGTAACGGTGGGGGTCTGCTCTTACTGAAGGCATTGACAAAGTTTCCTCCAGGGATGGCTTTGCCCCACTTGACTTCAGTGAAAGCAGAATCAGGCCCCCTTTATCACCCCATCTCATAAATAGGTGAACTTGAGTTTGTAACAAGCCATACCAACATGGTCAGTTCTGCTTTTCTATTATAAATGTTGATGTTCTTATCAAATGTACGTGATTATATTGTCAAACATACATGTAATCATTTTAATGACTTTCCATGTGGAATAATAAATGTACGGCTACAAGTCTACAGAGTGCCTTGTGCCTGTTCGGTTTCCTCCCTCGACTCACGAGGCAGAGGAGAAGTTCATGGAGAGGAAAAAGAAAAGGAATCCATCACAGTGCTGCACCCTTCCGCCGCACTTACAGATCTCCAGGGAGCTCGCAGACAGGAGCCTGTCCCCACACAGTCATTTCCACTGGCTTTAGGGCAGCCTCACTGATCTATGCTGGTGGACACCTAGCCCTCTAAGGGATTTAAAGTCTGGACAGTCAGTGAGGGGAAGCTGAGTTACTCCTACCTATAGACAGAGAAAACAAGGCAGAGTCTGTGCCTGCTGATTTCCCATTGCAGAGAAGGGGGCTCATCACAGTCCAGCAGCAAACTTCAAACTGCCACCACCACACATGCGTGTGAACACATACATACACACACTTCATTTTAAAAATCTCTTTTAGTGTGTAACCCAGCAGTACTCCAAGAGGTACCCCCTCTCCAATTGAAGGGATCAAAGCAGGTGCACAAGCACTGTGGGAGGTGTAGGGACTCTCCTCCCCCTATAGAGCAGAGCCAGACCACCAATGGGGACTTAACCATATACCTTTGAATACTGGGAACATTAACAGGCATAAATCAGAGGGTCTGGCAGACACTACAATGCCCCAAGGGGGCAGGATTCAACAAAGGTTAGACACTTACAATCATTGACAAAAAACAGGGTTAACAAAATATAAAACTCAGAGAGCAGAACAAACAATACAGGTTGGTGAAATATAAAAAAAGGCACAAAATGCAAAATGTCAAATGCCAAGGAAATATAGGGCCTTGATACCTGGGAGGGGGAGAAAGGGGGGAAAACACAATGGCCCCTTTCCACTGCAAGAAGATTTGCTTCTTGTTAGCTCACTCACCCCAAGTCACCTCAGCTGGGACTTGCACCCAGATCTCCCCCGTGGTAGGCACGAGCGCTGCCACAGCCACCGCTGGGGGCACTGCTCCAGGCTGTGAGGGGTCTCGACCTTCCCGGAGCCCTGCCTCACGTCGCGCTGCCTGGCCTCTCATTGGAGGAGCTGGGAAGCAGGGCTGGGAACCCCTCAGGTCGCTGCTCTGATCCTTGCTGGAGCCGGGGAGCCTCTCCTGCTGGCTGCAGCCTCTCCCAGGGGATCCTGGAGCCCAGCGGGAGCCTCTCCTGCCGGCCAATCAGGGGACATGGGGAGCGAGTCTCTGGGGCCCGACTGGTGCAGAAAGGGAATCCCAAGTCCTCCAATCATCTTTTACCCCTTCAAAACCCCTGGGCGAAATCATTACCAGATTGGTGCAGAAAGGGAATCCCAAGTCCTCCAACCATCTTTTGCCCTTTCAAAACCCCTGGGCCAGGTCACTGCCAGCCAGCCCGTCACAAGTGGAACAAGTGCAAAGAGCACGTGCAGGCCAGGCTGGAGTGAGAGATCCTGGCTTCACACCGCTGTAGCACTGGCAGCACAGCCTTGGTTAACCCCCCAGAGAAGAGAATCAGACCCAAGGGAATGGAAGTGCTGTGAACTGCAGTGTTGAAACCACCCCCCTCTCTCTCACTCCACTCCAAAAACACCTGAAAGAAGCATGGGGAGGAGGGAGGCACTGTGCCACCAGTAAAGCAGATTAAGCCACCACTGATACTGAGACACAGGGACTAAACACATGACATTTACATCAGTTTTGTCCATAGATGGGATCCAGAGTGGACAGACAAACATCCCTTCTGGGGTAGCTGAGCACCATAGCTTGCCATTTTGAGAGGGGACGGATCAGGACATAACCCATTTGCCTTGAGTCTGGGCTAAGCTACAGACACACAAGAGCTACACTGTGCACTGGTGGAGTTTTACCCTCAGTTTTCCCCAGGGTAAATGCACCAGATTCACATGAGCTACGCCAAAGTAAGGCTGTCTACTGTGGGTCTGTGCCTTCCTACACCGGCATAGAGGCTGATAACACTGCTTTCACCACATTGTCTGCCCAGGCCCAAAGTCAAGGATTTCACCTGAAACAATTTTTTAAGCGACACTAACCGCATCCCACTGCCAAGAAAATTCACCGTGGAAATGCCGAGATGCATAATATGACAAGAGAGTTCAGGATGTGCCTGTTCTGCAGGCTTGGTTAGCTGAGACCAGTGGTTCTCAACCTTTTTAGACATAAGGCCCAGCTCGGAAAATGCCAGATC